TTTCCTTTCTCCTTTCCTTTCTCCTTTCCTTTCTCCTTTCCTTTCTCCTTTCCTTTCTCCTTTCCTTTCTCCTTTCCTTTCTCCTTTCCTTTTTCCTTTCCTTTCAACCAGACAGTTTTACACTTAGAATGCTGCCAAAAATGTTACACATAGAATGCGTCCAAGGGTTTTGGGGGCATGGGTTTTATGATTTTTGCTGATTTCCACATGAATTGTGATTTCCTTGACGATTTTTGTCCCTCCCGGCTGCATTTGTAACACTTAGAATGCCACACCAATCCTTTCCTCTTTCCCTTCCTGTTTCCTTTCCTTTTTCCTTTCCTTTTTCCTTTCCTTTTTCCTTTCCTTTTTCCTTTCCTTTTTGCTTTCCTTTTTCCTTTCCTTTTTCCTTTCCTGTTTCCTTTCCTTTTTCCTTTCCTTTCTCCTTTCCTTTCTCCTTTCCTTTCTCCTTTCCTTTCTCCTTTCCTTTCTCCTTTCCTTTCTCCTTTCCTTTTTCCTTTCCTTTCTCCTTCCTTTCTCCTTTCCTTTCTCCTTTCCTTTCTCCTTTCCTTTCTCCTTTCCTTTCCCCTTTCCTTTCTCCTTTCCTTTCTCCTTTCCTTTCTCCTTTCCTTTCTCCTTTCCTTTCTCCTTTCCTTTCTCCTTTCCTTTCTCCTTCCCTTTCTCCTTTCCTTTCTCCTTTCCTTTCTCCTTTCCTTTCTCCTTTCCTTTCTCCTGAAACTCACAAATGCGATTTAGGGGACAACAACTAGCATATTCACACCAGAACAGGGGATTATATAATAAATTTTATATACCATCAAGAGTTTAAGTCTATATCTCTAATAGCAACGGACTGAAACTTAGAATGCCTTGGACCAAAAAATATTGAAAGGGTCTCCAAATATGGCGATAATCATGCGCACTTAGAATGCCTCATAAAGTCCAGCTCGCAGGTTTGAATGTTTTAGCGATGGAGGCATTCTAAGTGAGGCCAAAAAAAAGGCATTCTAAGTGGCACCGTAAAAAAATTGAGAAACATGGCGGCATTCTAAGTTTCAGTCCGTCACTATAGATAAACTTAGACTGTTTCATCTGCTTCAGGTTCACCCCTTTCCTGGATGGTCACCCATTGCATCCAATTTTGGTCGATGTTTTTCAGGTTTTTTGTGGCCAGGGGATGCCAGGGGCCCCTCTGGTAATTTGTTACAGTTTGCTATGGAAAGATCCACCATGCTATCAATGGGAAAATCCACTATTTCGACTGGGCCATTTTCAATAGCGAACTGTTAGTTTACCAGAGGGTAATCCGGCCATGTTTTTTGTCGCCATCCACTGAGAATGGCCATCCTCTGCGGACCAAGGCGATGTGCTAAAACGAGTGGGTCTATCTGTGCCCGGCATTGCCGCATTGCGTTGTAGACTGGAGCCAAAGTCAGGAGTAGCCACAGATTCTGAGGTTTTTTTGTAGGTGAACTCCGCCAATTTTTTCTGGGGTTCAATCCCTGTACTCCGCAGCCCAAATAGGTACTGAGCAATACCAGCTATTGGCAGCGTAGCCGGGAGGCGTTGAAGGGTTGGGGGCTCCTCAAATCTGTCAATGGCGATATTTTCTGTGGTTTACGGTTTACAAACATATTTTGTTTCAATATGGGATATCAGTGGATATATATATATAATTATACATTATATATATATAATTTATATGACTTTATTTATGACATTCTATGATTATTGCCTTATTGCCATTTTACCATATTTTTACCTAGAAATTGGAGGGTTTGGTATTTGAAGATGGTATTGCAGTATCCATGATTTTCCTCTTTTTATTCGTCACCCAAGTAAACCCCGTTAAACTTCATCAAACCACACCTTAGGCCCCATCTTGGTCTTAGTTCCCATTTTGGCCTTTATTAAACGCATTTTTTCATGATGACCATCTTCCCATTACCACCCAACTAACATACACCCTGCCACGAGTGGGGCGTTGGCAGATTGGTTTCCACTTTAAAAAGATGGCAATTCTCAGGGTCCATGTTAAGTTTCCATTTACAAGTTGATCACATGCCATTATCTACCCAGTTTTTCAGGGGATATGGATGGATATGGCCTTACAGAACCATTTTTTTGAGCCATGCTCAGCATCATTACAGTACATATCATGACCATGGGGGAATCATAGGAATTTTCCCGTTTAGGTCCATGTTTTTCCCAGCTGTAGACCTGCATTGAGTTCGGGGGGTCTCGTTTGCCACGTTTGCTGAACGGAGGGTAATCTTGGTGTTTCAGTATTTGTCTGGTTGGTGGTTTCAAACATTTTTTTTAATTTTCCATTTCATATATGGAATGTCATCCTTCCCATTGACTTTCATATTTTTCAAGATGGTTATTGCACCACCAACCACGTGTGGATATTTGTGTCATGAGCTGATTGAACACATCGAATGGCTGAATCCGATTGAACAACTGGTAGCCACGCGGCCCCAAGTAATTTCTGAATGACCCAGCTTGGTTCCCAACCACCACATTATTAACCATTAATCAACCATTAATTAACCATTAATCAACCATTAATCAGCCATTAACCAACAATTTATCAACCATTAATCGACCATTAATTAACCATGAATTCACCATTAATTAACCATCAATCAACCATTAAATAACTATTAATTAACCATTGATTAACTACTAATCAAGCATTAATCAACCATTGATGAACCATTTATCAACCATTGATGAACCATTTATCATCCATTAATCAACCATTAATTAACCATGAATTCACCATTATTTTAGCATCAATCAACCATTCATTAACTATCAATTAACCATTAATCAACCATTAATTAACTATCAATTAACCATTAGTTAACTATTAATCGACCATTAATTAACTATCAATTACCATCATTCAACCGTTAAATAACTATTAATTAACCATTATAATTGGGACCAACACAATCCCTGCAGCCAGGAAGCCTCCGATGCAGAGCAACAGCTGGCGCAGCTGAAACGCGAAGCTCAGCTGCGGCAAGCGCGCTGCGAGGGGCAGCGGGGCGGCCCAGCGGGCCCAGCGGGCCCAGCGCAGCGCGCAGCCGGGGGATGAATGGTTTCTTTAATGGTTGCCATCTGGTTATGACCAACAGTTTGCCATGGAAAACCCACCCAATTTTAACAGGTAAACCATCTATTTCTATGGACCATTTTCCATATATATAAATGTACTATATTATACTATATTCATCTATCTAGATATATATATATATAATACATATCTGGGTAAATTATAACGACCTCACTGTTCTCCCTCACCGGAATCATGGTTAGCAAGAGGGATCATCCCAAAATGGCCGAACTATTCAGGTTATACCCAGATTAACGGTTTCTTTAATGGTTAATCATGGTTAATAGCGGCTTAATCGTGGTTAACTTATGGTTAACTAGTGATTCACTAATGGTTAACTAATGGTTAAGTAATGGTACGCACACATACCTGCTTTTGCCCATACGGACAATGTGGTGTCTGCGCGCATGTGTAAAGACATGTATATTTATGGACATGTTCTCGCATATCCACATGCAGGATGTGCAGCTGTCGAGGACACTGAAGGGGATCTGCACACAGGCACCATGACACTTGTTACTTGTTCCTGTATGATAGACCTCTTACTATCCTTGAGGATCAGAATCATTATCAGATAATGTAGACAAATGTACACAATGACATTACTTAAAATAGTAATGACCATATTTGATAGTAATGATCATATGATGCTGCTGCTGCTAGGCTCGAAAACCTGGCGCGGGATGCCAAGGAGGAGCAGGCCAGGATGGGATGGTCGGATGGACAAAAAAGAAGTCGATGGACCAGCCGTGGATTCAGCGATCGACAGATAGGGATAGTAGATTGGCCGATTGCTAGATTGATGTACTGTATATATATATATATATGTATATATATGTACGTTTATCTGCAGAGATATGCGCAGTTTAGAGCGAGCCCAGACAAGGTACGAGGTAGACATAGCAAATTCACGAGGCAATTTGACTAATTCACGTCCCTATGAGGTGAGGCTTTTTGCTCACTTTTTGAGTAAACGGTGGACAAAAAACTTTTCAAAGGCTGAACAGTTTTTTTTGGTTGTTTAGTCGCACTTGCAGTTCTCCTATCAGGTCTAGAGGGAATAAACTTTTCAGCTTGTGAACAGTTTTGTTCACATACAGTTTTGGCCCCACAGCATTTGGCTGAGGACTAGTGACTAGGGAGCACCAGCGTGCGTGCCATGGCTTTGTCAAAACAAATCCCCCAAAAAATATTGCAGAGTTGAAGATCGCATCAGATTCGACTTCGATGTTCATCCAAGCTATTCCAAGCTGGTCACACTTAGGCATGGTCAAGAAACAACAGCACTCGATGGGATATGATTTTTTTTGGGGGGGGGAGTTACCAGAGCTTGCTTCCAAGTACCCATCATTTACCCATCATTTACCCATTTACCACACATAATGATGCTTATCCACATCGGGATGGACCAAAAGCTGTGATTCATCGATGGGTGCTTGGATGATCCTCCAGGGATGAACCCCTGGCGCAGCGCAGGAGAGGCGGCTGATTTCGGACAAGATCAGCTTGGCCCTGAGATGTCGAAGAGTCAATTCAGTCGATGTTCGGGTCCCATCTGCCTTTGGTGATTTGTTTGTAACTTAAAAATATATAAAAATACCGTATACACTTAAATAATGGATGTTTTATGATGTTTGCCACTTCCAAGAAATCATGATCCCTTCATTTGCTATACAAAATGCATCCTTCCCTTGAAGATCCTTAAGGATCCCTAAGGCATATTCCTTCAGCATGGCTGGCCACGTCAGGTAAAGAGCTGGCGAGTCTGAGACAGGAGCTGCAGAGAAAAGATGAACTGGAGGAGGAGCGCTTGCGCCACTGGGCACGAGTCCTGTACTAGTATATAGTGTTTTTCCTTTAAACTGTTGCCAGGTGTTCGTACCGCGATTCTTGCGATTCCTGCGATGTTTGTGGAATTCGTGAGCCCTCAACTGGGACATGTTATGACATATAAAATATTGGGATATACCCCACACGACTCGCGAATTCTGGCGACATCGTTTTTTTTGGCAAAAAACACAGCTGTCGGTGGCTAAGGCTGTGCCTAGATGGTCATGGTGTTCGAAAACCACCAGCGATTTTTCATGCGATTTGCAATAATGTGGGTAAAACAATGCCACAAACCACCCATTTGGGAATGGCAATCATACTCCCTATAAAGATGGTGATTACTGGGGGATGGTTTATGACATTGTCTTACCCACACCCATTCATTTTTCCAACTAAATCACTAAATCACCCTTTTCTGTTTTGCAACGTTGAATTTCGATTACTCAAGTAGTAAAACCAGATTGTTTTTCTTTTTTTATTTGCATTTGGTGTCACATTGGCCAGCCAAAAACGATTCATAAAATTGCATGACGCAAAGAAACATGAACATAGGAGACATGACTGACAAGAATGTTGGTAAAACATGGTAAAACAATAGTAAAACAATCTTACTATTGCCAGTGCTTTCCTATTGTTTTGAGAACATGATTGATTTTTCTACTTTGATCCAACGACCATGGCGACAGCCGAGGTCATTTGTATCGTGGCATCTTGGGCCCTGCAAAAGGTGTGCAACTCAAAAGTGGGTCCAATTCATCCGTTTTTTTTTCATGCGGGGGGTTTAAGCAATGATGAGTCAAACTCGGAGCGGCTCCCAAAATTGATGATCAAATCTCCATAAATCTCCATAAATCTCCATAAATCTCCATAAATCTCCATACATCTCCATACATCTCCATAAATCTCCATAAATCTCCATAAATCTCATTGATATTCCAAAATTTGAAGTACTGCCATCCTTGAGAGACTCCTTTGATCGGACGGCATCAAGTCCTGGCTCAGGTGAGGTTAGCCCGTGCCTTGGCTTCGTCTTAGACGCTTGGGATTTCCGATAAAAATGGCGTGGAAATCTTCCAGAGATCCTGGGGTTAACATGGGTTAACTCACAAACAGATAAAAACACTACCCTCTGGTAATTTAACATAGCTATTGAACATGACCATTTATAGTGGATTTTCCCATTAAAAATGATGATTTTCCATAGCTATGTTAGTTTACCAGAGGGTATATAGAAATAGAAGACCTATTGTTTTTGCAGAAAAACTCATCTGCAAATGGTGGATGTTCCCTAGGCGATTCCCATTATCATCAGTTTCAAGAATCCATTGAAACCATTGGAGACACTTTTATTCAAATTGCTGCAAGTTATGGAAAAGCCTCACAACAAACCTCATCACAGATGATGGTTAGTATGATGATTAGTAGTGGAATCTGTCACATTTTTTGACAATACATAGTGTAGCTTTGAGAGTTTCTGAATTTTGTCCAGATAAATGAGGATTTCCGTTGTTTTTCGTTAGATTACCACTTTGCGGTGTCATAGAAAGCTATGATAACACGGATATCTGGGGAAAAAATCGATGTTTCCCAACCTTGACCACCGCTGACGGGGTTCGCCTTAGGCTCTCTACCGCCATGGTGGAGGATCTGAGGCCATTTTTAGGGACCATGACTCCAATGACTGGGGATGGTGAACATGGCACTCATTCCAAAATATTGGTATGGGTCAATACCTATTAATACCATTTTTAGGGGAATGAACATCCATTTACCAGCTATTTGATGTTCACCAGGGGTACAAGGTTTTGACACACTGCCATATGACATGGGGTTTACAACATTACACATTTACCGAGGTTACAACATATTACAACATTGTAAGATACACTTACCTGGTTTTTTAAGCATGATTTGACACGAAAAATCTCGCGAAGTAGAGGCTTGTTGATCCCCAATTTCTGCACCTTTCCCAGATTTTTTTGGCTCAGTCGCTTCAGTCGCCAAGCAAGTGACCTTTCAGTCGCCATTTTCAACACCCCGTGGTTTCCACCGGACCCAGGAGCAAACACACTCCGCTGATCTTCTCAGCAACTTGGCTCTGAAATCTCCGAATGTCCTGCGTTTTCTGTGGGAACATGGAGGAATTTAATCATCAAAAATGACAGAAACAATGAGATTTAGCCAACATGAAAGGGAATTTATAGTTGATGTATAATTGATATGTATATATAATTATATATATATATATATATGTAGTCACAGTAATTTCTAATTCTATTATTTCACAAGTGGTGAACGACCAGGTTCAGAGTGTATATATATAATATGATTAGTGTTATTATTACTATTATATTGCTATCATTATCATCAGTAATTTTATCATCATCATTATTATCATTCTTATATATATACAGTATAATGTGGATAGTTCGGGGGGTATTTGCGGGGCACTGCTCATGCAACCTGGTGAGGTCACAACCAAGATGACACTTGTGAGATACGGCCACTTTTTGGATTCCATGATAGATGAAATGTTTTAGATGGGGACCTGTTAAACGCTTATCCCTTGTACTGAGTCACTAAATCCTTTTGAGCTAGTCTGTTCAAACAACAAAGGGTTTCTCCAAAATCAAGGTACCCCCAATTAAACGGGTTTTATCGTCATTTTCTCCATTCAGAAAATGGCCGCGCATTGCGGGCAATTCCTTCTTTTATGGGCAGACCCAACTGAAACACCCAAAATCACCATCAGTGGTTATATACAATCCTTTAAGTCAATCCCTATGACAGTTCTTCCGATTTTAGATATCCTTAGGCCCAAGAACTACAGTAGGGCACAACAGCAACCATTGGGCCTGCGCAGCATCCAGGAAGCCAAGCTTCTGAGCGACGACGTTTCCGGCGCATCGCTGCGACCAGGTGCATCAGTGGAGGGAGCAGATGTAGATTCGGGGATGTCTCAAAGATCTCAAAACAGACCTGCAAGGCCTTACATCTTTATTCCTGGTTGGTGGTTTCAAACATTTTTTTTATTTTCCATTTGATATATGGGATGTCATCCTTTCCATTGACTATGACTAATATTTTTCAAGATGGTTATTGCACCACCAACCAACACAGGTAGAGTTTGGGCCTATAAGAGACATGCCCATTTTATGATGTTGAAGACTCGAGATTTGACCCACCAAAAATGCGCGATTCTGTGGTGATAGAACGCAGATTTCTTTCAGATATCCGACATATGGGTGATTTTTCACACCCAAAAAGGGCAGATGCACATAACGATGCAAATAAAATCAAATAACGTTATTCCAAGACGTGTATCAAGGTTACATCTAAAGGAACACCCAATATTTGATGGGGAAAGACACAAGGGTTCCTGTGCAATTCCTGTAAAAACAAGGCGAGAATTTCTGGTCAAGCCCCATCACATGTCAATGTATGATGAGGAAACATCTTGGTATCCCATGAAAGGCTTAATCCTATCTTGGCCCCCTTGAGAAAAAGAAACACAAAACACATTCATCGTATCAGTTCAGATGGAATCCCATGAAATCCCATAAAAGTCCCATTTAGACCATTGCATCCCATAATTTCTATGGATTTCTTTGACTACTTGGAGGTTCGTTCGGGTAGATCTGATACAACTGCTGCAGGCGACGGCCTCCGTGTTTCTATGCCGAAGAAGGCATGAGGATCTGATTGTGAAAAAGGATGTTTTTTTTTCCCAAACACGGTGAATCAATCAGTCAAAATGGTGACATAACAAAGACTGTTGATTATCTGATTTAGCAGGCAAGCCTTGTGATTTCGCCATGAAAAAAAAATGGATTGAACCAGAAACAACGGGGATGCAGCAGGGGATTGAAAGTTTCACATGGTGATTTTAGCCACTGACATAGGGAGCTAAGCAACAAAGCAGCCACCCTTAAACTGACCTTGGTATGTTTTGCAAACCAACCAGGTCTACTGTAGTTTGGTGCCAGTTAACAAAGGGTGTTTCAACACAGCAGATAGTACAGCAACAATCAGGGTAATGTTCGTAAAGCAATAATACACCGTCCATATAAAAATTCATGGTATACCAATAAAAATGGTAAAAACATTGGGATGGTGGATCCTATTGCTTTACGTTTGATATCTTTTGATCATGACACAACCAGGTCCCATGGAGGTCCGGTGATAGTAGCCTCTAGACTCTAGCAATAGTTTGCCATCGGAAAATGGCCATGGGTGAGAGGCAAATCATCTACAGATGAGTCATTTTCATTCATTTTCCATATGTTGAATTACCAGAGGGTCGCATCTTAAGTTCAAAGGATGTAATGTGGGTAAAACAATAATCAACCAACCATTTGGGAATGGTTTATACCGCCTATTTATGGTGATTTGGGGGATGGTTTATTATTGTTTTACCGACATTGGCCATGTTGTTTCACAATGTTTCGCCGGTTTCGGTCACGCCGCGAGGCTCGACCAGGAGCGGGTTTGGTGCTTGGGAGCGATCCGAGAGTACAAAGTGAAGAGCTGAGCTGTTTTCCACTGTTTTATGGAAATCAATGGTGATATAATGGGATTTCATGGTGATTTTATGGAATTCAATGGTGATATAATGGGAATCAGCGTTTCAAATGTAAACTATCAGCCACGTGGGGTTTCTCAATGAATCAAAGGCTGCACCTGGAACTCCAACCCAAAGTACCAGGGAAGTTATTTTTGGTGCATCCCAGTGAAGGTGTCAGCATATCCTGGAACATCCGCAGATCGTGGGTTTAGGGTCCACGGAGATTGATCATGATCGATCATTTTGAGCTTGATATCATTGATGTATATAATAGTAATGGTGATACTAATGTATTAATACATGTATATCAATAGTAATAGATAGTAATAGGTTATTATTGATACTATTAATAATTATCACAATGGTGACAATGATAGTAATGGTAGACAAACATGATGATGAATAGGTTGACAACAATAACACAGACCAACCACTATCATACTAATAACAATAAGCATCCTAACAATGAACAATATATATAAAAACAATATATAATGATAATCAATCATCCAATTAACAATAGCAACAGTAACAACAGTAACAACAACAACAACAACAACGACAACAATACCGATAATAACCAATAATGATATGATGATTAATTAATAACAATAATATTAATGATAGCATTTATAGTAATAATGATACTATTAATAATTAATGACAAGCTCCGACCTTTCATCACAAGCCCAATAGGAGCGCTGGATGGACCGGTGCCATTTGTGGCCTCGCGTGGCGAGCGCGGTGAACGTGGCGAGCGCGGAGGCGGGAAATGGTGCTGTTACGGTGACATATGGTGACTTAATGGGGATTGAACCAGAGATGTCCGGCTGAAAAAAAAATCACTTCTATTACTTTCATCTCTACGGTGACATATGGTGACTTAATGGCTGAACAATAAAAAACAATGAGAAATTCAGCCAGAGATGGTGAGTCTGGAGTCGAATTCCCCATGCTGATTTTTCACCGACAGAGATGATAGTTGTCAGGTCGAGCCTCGGAAGCCGAGAAGCTGCTCAGAGTGCCTGATCTCCGTTGAGGGGATGCCCTCTTTTGGATGGGAGACCGAGGTCAATATGAATGGTTCCCCCAACAAAAGGCCGGTTTCAAGCGGGAGAATTCTAAGATGGGGGATTTAATCCCACCTGGCAGGGTGATCCTAACTTCAGACTCGGGGATTGTGATGGTTCAACGTGGTGAAAAACCACCACTCAGATAGTTGGTACATGGTGGGGCCCAGTCCTAAGTTGGTTTATAACCCCCACTGCTTGGGAACGCCGGGCCACTGGAATTGCAGGTGTTGCGACTTGACTTGGAAGCCAATTTTTCAATCTATCTGCGAGAGATGTGCAAGGTATGTGCCTACAGCGCTATCCGCGAAACATAGGGTAACAGCGTGACATGTGCTAGCGTAGCATCTAAGGTATGTTCACATATCTGCGCGCAAGTGCAATAGAACGTCCAGGAGGGTAGCATAACATAAGTACGCACGTGCAACAGAACGTATGTGCGCAATTGTACTTGAACCTTGTTAGCTCACCCCACCCCACCCCAATGCGCGACGTAGCTCATTTTGAGCAAAGAACACAGTTTGCACCAGGCCGCAGACAGCGCTGTTGGCAACTACTTCTATGGATACTGTATATATCTACTGTACCGTAAACCATAGTTAATCCAGTCACACACCAAGTTTATCATAATTTATCATAAATCAACTACAGTAACTACAGCAGTATAAATTCCTATTTCTTGTTGGCTAAACCCCAGTTTTTTGGGCGAAGAAAAAAACCCATCGAAGCAGTTCAAGGGTCCCCCATGGTCCCAGGTGAACTTGGCGCGTCTTGAGCGCTTGGAGCGCTTCGGGCTGTGAACACCGGATGCTTCTTATGGGATAAACAAAAAACACCTTCATCACAGCAACCATAGCAATTCCTAGTTACCATAGTTACCATAGTTACCATAGATGCCCATAGTGATTTATTTACTTTATTTTTATCCACTATCCAATCTTATCCATATTATATGTTTCATTTTATTTCTATGATCCACTCTGGTGTATATGCAAAACATTTCGCAACCATATATGTCTAACATTGTCCAAGTACATCACCTGTTGATTGGGGGCATATATATATATATAATCTATTCATATGTTGATGATGATTTGTGACTGCTACACCTGCAGTTAAGACTTCTGGGTTTCTCGCCTGGAGCCTTTCGAACACTGACACCACTCCACTTTTCACTGGGTCTCGGCCGTGACAAATGTCATGGGCACCGTGGCCCGCTGTAACGCTAGCGACTGTAGCGTCCGAAAACCGGTGTCCTGGCGTCCTGGCGACCTGGCGATGTGGAGGGGAGAAGCCAAGTTTTGCCCCCTATCCTTGCTCAAACGGGCCACAGGGGTATGGACATTACTATAAGCCTCCAAAAATTCATGCCTTCTAATTCATGGGCACTATTGGCCATCAAACAATGTGGCAAATGAATTTTCGAAACCATGAGGTTTGAAGGGACACCCCCAATTTTCAGACGTACCCATATGGTGGGCCCATTCTTTTGCAACCCACTTTTTTGGGATGATTCTGAATGCCCCGCAAATGAACAAAACACATGGTTAATGGTTGTTAATGGCATGGATTACATTTGAACAGGGAACTCCAAACATTGAGTCCAGAAGATGATTGAGTTTCGGGTGATTGCAACTGTTCATCATTCTTCCATATTAGATTCATGTGGGATTCACCCCATGCCATATACCTACCATTTGGGAATGGTTTTAATCCAACCCACAAACATTGTGATGTCTTGCGATGGTTTATGGCATTGGGTTTACCACATTAAATCACACTTGGGGGTAAAATTAGAAAAGAAATATCATAAACATTCATAAACTACTTATATTTTGATGGTTTATACCACCCATTTATGGTAAAATTGATGTAAAATTGCGGTGGATCCTATTGCTCAACGTGATGCCGCAAAATCTCTTCGGTTCATTCTGGCTCCAGGGACGCGGAAAATCGGTCACCGTAGATTCGCGATGGGGAGCCCTACATCGCAGTGCTGAGTTTCTTGATCTGGTCTTGATCGATGGGTCCATGGGGTACCTGAAATACGACATATATAAATGGTTAATAGTGGTCATTTGGAACTATTAACCACTATTAACCACTATTAACCACTATTAACCACTCTTAACCACTATTAACGTTATTAACCACTAGTAACCACTATTAACCACTATTAACATCTATTAACCACTATTAACCATCACTATCCATTGAAATTGGATGTGTAGTATGAAAATTTCGCCTTTAACCATCCAATTGACTTCGTTAATTTCCGTGAACTCGAGGGAATTTGGGGATCAGCCATGGAATTTCTTGAAATCTGTGGTTGGTGCTGTATTGATATGGGCCGATATGGATATGAAATATTATGAAATGATACGAATACTACTGAATATTAGTGTCAAGACCTTGGTTTCACATGGCATTCAAACCAAAAAAGAATCCGGGCTTGCCACATGGACATCCCGAGAATTCCGATGGTCCCCTCCCCTGTTTCCCATACCTCAGGTCGCAGCATCGCGGGAAAAAGCGACGCGACAGCAACGCGTCAGATGCGGCGCAGCTAAGTGTCAAGGCCGCAACGGGACATGGTGGGCCGCTGGATGTGGTGCTTTGGGGTAAAAAGACATGGATCTCACACAGTCTCAAGTGGGAAAACGCTGGACATCGTGTTTCATTTGAAAAAAACATCGAATTGTGAAAGACACATAGGTTTCCCCAGCTTGAGGAGACGCCTTAAAAAAAGAACCTAAGGAGCAGATTTGGGTCATTTTTGCTGGACCCATAGAATAGCCCACTGCGGCTTCAATGGAAAGCAAGAGGTGGACACTTTTTAGCAGACTGGTTCGGCATGTCGCTCAGGCTTCCACTTCATATATAATTATATAATATTATATATAATATACACACATATAATATGTATACACATGTTTTCTGATTTGTCTGCATTGTTGCAAGACATGAGAGCCCCGTCATTTTACAATGATCCTTGCCTGTTTCTGGGGTCCAAATCCATCCAGAGACACTGAATTTCTGGTGCTGCCAATATCTGCCGATGCTTCGGACAGGCCACGATATGTGCAGGTCTGTCCTCCCCCCAAGCGGACAAAAGTCAGCGGCGACATCTCAGGAGTAGCATGAACAAATACGACGTTCTTGGAGTGGTGGGCGAGGGTGCCTATGGAGTAGTCTTGAAATGCAAGAACAAGGACCCGCTGATCCCGCTGACTCATGTGACCCATGGCCTAGAACCTACAGCTTCCCCAGTGACGGTTGAAGGCTTTGGTTGCAGCTTTCAGCCCGAAAAATGGAGATTTCCTAAAATAGGGGTACCTCCCAAATCATCCATTTGAGTAGGATTTTCCAATTATAATCCATCCAGCTATTGGGATATCCCCATTTCAGGAAACCCCCATATAGCATTACATAGCCCTATAATTTGGAGGGGACCCATCCTCCACGGTTTCAAGCCATGACATGGCGAGGACACCAATGAAGTGGTGGCCATTAAGAAGTTGGATGCTCAGGGCGGGCGACAGCGTTTGCGCATCATATCTCGGTATAATTTGGTTTTAATTAAAGGTATATACCACCAACAGATATATATGTATATATACACGTATAACTATATATAAAACTATATATATATAAAACTATATATATAACTATATATATATAACTATATATATATAACTATATATATAACTATATATATAACTATATATATAACTATATATATATAACTATATATATA